GTTTGGGAAGCGTGGTACGCACCGGCGAAGGCGGAGGCGATGGCGGCGACGAGGAAGGAGAGGGTGACGGCCGGGCCGGCCTCGGTGCGCGCCACGGCGCCCGCCAGCACGTACACGCCCAGGCCCAGCGTGCTGCCCACGCCCAGCAGCGTCAGGTCGAACACCGACAGGCAGCGCGACAGCTGCGACGCGCCCTCGTCCGCCGCCGCGCGCTTCTGCCGCAGCAGCACGCGCGCCGCGCGCCCCAACATCTGCCCACACAAGCCACGCACAGCGCTCTCAACAACAACAACAACAACAACAACAACAACAACAACAACAACAACGACGACGACGACGACGACCTTCCCATACATGCAGATGAAATGATACACTGCAAATAAACCAGATATTCTACTACATAACGTACACGAAAAGAATGCATTTATTATTGATGTTACACACCCTGCAGATCACATCATTAATAAATCAGAAACAAAAAAAAATCAAAATACATTCTCCTCTCAATAGAATATAAATAAATATACGAAATTATGTCTGTTGATATTATATCAATTGTAATAACAGCAACTGGTCATGTTAACAAAAATTCAATGTATTATTTGGAAAAATTGGGCCTTCCTCGTCTCATAATAATTATTCTAAAAGCTCAAAAGTCAGTCGTTCTTGAAACCTGCCGGAATATTCGCAGGGTTTTAAATAAGTCAAGCTAGAAATGTGATATGCCTAAGGTCCCTCAAACCTGGAATTCCAGTTAAGAAAATCCCGATAAAAAAGGAAATAATACAAATAATAATAATTTATATTCCTGTATTCGGAACAGCCCACATTTTGCACAAAGTGTAGGCATCCTTCCCTAGATCTGCTCCTTAGGAAGCTGGTTGCAATCTGAAGTACATTTTAATGTCAACCGCCTCATAACATCTTTTGTCGTGAAGTAAAGGAATAATAATAATAATAATAATAATAATAATAATAATAATAATAATAATAATAATAATGACAAGAAGAAGAAGAAAAAGAAGAATGTACAAATATATGAGCAAAATTGACCTCTACATACTGAGTGATATGAATGAAAATGAAAAAGAACTCCAGAGCAGTGATGCTCTGGAGTTCTTTTTCATTTTCATTCATCTTCAGAGCACCAATTGCTCACGACTACAAGTAGGTAGTACTACTTCTCATGAGAAATTATTTTTTATATGAATTAAAACGTTTCGTAACTCCTGGAGCATTTAGATCATTTTCTGAGAAATTTCTCACTAACTGATCTGTAGCAGTTGGTCTAGTTTCATCTGTTCTGTTTGTCTTCGTTACCACGCGATGCATGCCTGTTCTTGGTGTTGTCGACCGTGTTAGGTTAAGTGATACAGATTCTGTGTATTGTTCTGCGAGTTTTTGAATTTTTAAGTAACGCAAAAATATTCTCGCTTTCGCTTCATCATTTATCACCCCTACTTCTGGTTGCATTACACTCGTCTAGAAAATAATTAACCAATCACTTAATATTTTCCGCGTATGAACCATAAAGTTTTATAATTATTCTCTTCAGCAGCTCTTATCTTGTACCTTTTGTTGATGAAATTGTCGAAATTCTTCCATCATTCAATCACTCATCTAAAACCTCGTAAACAGCTCCCAACAGCCGCAAACAACGAAACAAGTGCGAAAAACGAAATCCACAATTCCGTTTTCACTGATACCATTTCAAGATTCAAAAGGAAGTCCAGAAAAGCATTTCACAGACACAGCGTCGCGAGTGATATAAATTCGCAATCGTTGTATGGTCATGTGCATTCAAGATTACAAAGAAAAAATAGATTCCATCTACGTGAGTGCAAATGTAAATTTTGGAGTGAGAATAAAATGTGAACCATTTTAATTATTAATTTTTTACACTAATTACTTTTAAATGTTGATTTTTTTAAAAAATGTTTCTTGTGTTTTACCCCCTACGTTAGCCAGAATAAATGTATTTTACTACATTCGTATTTTAGTGAAAATAAATATATTTTTGCTTGCCTATTTTAAGTAAAATAAATGCCTGAACTTCCGGGCTCTAGTGATTATGAAGAGCATACAAATGAATAAAGTCTTCCATTCAAGGGTTCCAAGACCGTACTAAAATATTTTATGAGTGTACACTGAAGAATCAAATGTCGAGAAAGAACGAACTCTGAGGAATAACCTGTAAAAGTATTATTAAAAACTACCAGTAAACAGTAATTATATTATTACTTTCAGACTGAATGAATATACTGAAATTTCGAATTGTGAGTGGATATTTGTTAAGTCTAAGAATGAAACCCCTGAGAGCCAGTGCGAAACAGTAGATACTGGGCAAAAAACATTAAACCTAAGCATTGTAAAAAGTTGTTTTTTTGCATTTGTACTAAATAAGAGTATGCATTAAATAGTGAAGAAATAAACAAGTATCCGTAAATCAATTAATGTTAAGATTTATAACTCGAAATCCCCAGGTTTGGAACTTTATACTCCACAATTATTTTGAATATTTATATGTTAAATGAGTAGTATAAGAATAAGTTACATGGTTTCAATTTGATTTTCTATTTTTTTTGTTTGAATTTTATATTAAACTCTCATACAAACTTCTTATTTCGTGAAGGGAAAGTTGAAGTAATGTTCAGATATACCTACAGTCTATCCATTTAAATTCTTTTATCCATTTTGGTTATCTATGACGCATCTGAGATTACCGAAGAAATAAAACTTCAATCATGCGTTCACTCAACACAAGCGTTCTAATAATCCATCATGAATACTCTATGAAATAATCTAAGAACAACAATCATGAGGGTTCAACTTTAAAAACGGAGTCGTTAGTCTGGAACTCTCCTCCGCAACAGTTGAAGTCGGCGCTGCGCCGCTCACTCGTGGGTTCTTCCCCAGTTCGCGGCGAGGAGCACCTTGGGGCAAATACCGCTAACTGGCTTTTGCAACCCGCGCAAATGCCAAGGAAGCGGCTACTCACAGCCACTTCTGCGCGCTCCTCTCATCGCCTCCGCCGCCTTCGAAGAGTTTCTCCATGGAGAGGGTTCGTAATCGGCCGAAGAACAAAATAGTTATTTACCAAATAATATCATAAGAAATGTTGTTACAAAACGAGATTGAAGAATTATCAAATGAGGCCGTTAGGTCGAGTATTGCGACGATGTTACGCTAGGAATTCGTACAATGTTTTATCCGATTATCTAAAAATCCAATGTATTATTTTGTTAATGTTATTATTCATCCTGCGAAAGATAACAGATTGATGTTGATATAGTTAATAGGTGGTTCAGTTGTGTAAACACATTCCTTTTGGTTACGAACAGCGGATTGTTGTTAATAGTGGGGCATAGATTAACACAAGTCTTCTGTTCTAATAAAACTGATATTACAGCTCTGATCTCGGCATCGTAAAGTTTGATTTTAGATAAACCAAAGTTGTTAAGTAATGTAAATCGAAGAGCATCGGAATACCTGTTACAACAAAAACACGTTTCCACTTCTGGAATGAGAACAATATACGAGTGTTTAATATAAAATTATGCGCCTCATTTAACAGCAATAATATATAAAATACCGAACAACTGTATTATTGCGACCGATATTATTCATTATTTAATTCTTGCTTTATGGTTACTAAGTTAACCTTTTCACACCCAGTGTACCTTTTCTCTTTTCCGTTTTGGCACCTCTAAACAATGGTTAGGTTAGCGGCCTTACTATATTGCCTTGCAATTATCTTTGTAATAACCAGAAGATTTGTTTTATGCTGGTACTTCAAATTCGCTTTGCGTATGCGAAACCATCTCACTAGAACTAATTATTCTCCTGTGAAATTACTCCTGGAATGCGTCACGGGAACCTTGCACAAAAGGCGGACGCTTTTATCGTCTGCACATCGCGAGGGCGGCGGAAACCAGGAGACGCAGAAGGTCGCGAGTTGCGTTCTCGAGTCTCTTTCAGGATGGCAAGTTCGCTTCTTCGCCTTGCGCTTCGCCAATTCTCCAGCGCGGCACAGATAGTGAAGGCTGGCCTGAGCTGGATAATGTAAACACAAACACAGAACATGCGAAGGCGTCCGCTGGATAGCGGTCTACAATAACTTGTTTAAGCACTTTATATTACTTCATAAATAGGTAAAACTATTTTAATATTACTTTTGAAAAATTAATTTTATAGGTTTGTTTTCGTATTAATTTTGTGTTTACATGTTCAATATTTACTTCGTCCGCGCTTCGGTTTGGACCTTCCATTAACCCAGCCCTAAGACTGACCTTTCAGTATCTATGACATAGGTATGGACCCGATTTCCACGCCTGATACTTCATTAAGGTAGCTCCGTGCAATATTTTGACCCAAAATCCTTCAGATGGCTGAGCGAATCCTACGTAAGGAATGCATGGTTTTCTTTTTATCCTCAACATTCTCTAGAGAACAAGAAATAGAAAGTTTCTGTTCATTTAGGGATTCTTCCCTACGAAAAAGGAACTTATGAACCCACAAGTGTCGTTGCGCTGTGGGGTTGCGAGAACGCTAATGGTCCTTCGTAAACCAAAATGTCGCTGGTTCGAGAAGACGGTTACGGACGTTTACCACAATATAGTGGCTCGGCCGGATAAATCTATTGCCTAGTGGGAATTAAAAATACCGATTGCGTTGATAGTCAATGGAGAGAATTACTCCGACAAACTCCTGGAAGATGCTGGAGCAGTACCTCAACCAACTGACCACAAACATCACACGATCATTCTTCTCCATCCAAACATCTATCCCAAGGTCGATGACCACATATGGCCCAACCTCCGTGACTAGGAAATATAGGAAACAGGAAATATCCACCTTCTCCGACAGTAATGCAAGTAGGCGAGTTTCAGACCAGAGCTTGACCTAGACCTTAGCGCCATCGCAAGGAAATATACTCGATCCAGTCAAGGTATCACTTATTTGACATTGAGGCTTAGCAAAGCTAACTGGGGAATCAGACTGGTGAGTAACATGCACAAATTCATTCGCATTCACTTCAATCTTTACTTCTAGTTCTCGTTTATAAAATAAAATAAAATGTTTATGTAATTTTTTAAATTGATACCTCTGTTTAAAGTGATCCAGGTTTTGATTTCTTGAATATGGCAGCCATTAGAGAAAACAATCCCTAACATGTCACTGATGAAAACTATCGCTAACCTCCAACTGCACGCGGCGAAATGACACTTTCGAGGCATCGGCTGGCGCTGTA